TTTTAGACATTCTCTGAAGTCTAGTCATATCTCTGTAGGCTGGTCATATATGTGTAGTCTTGTCATATCTGTGTAGTATCGTCATATCTATGTAATCTAGTCATATCTCTGTAGGCTAGTCATATATGTGTAGTCTTGTCATATCTGTGTCGTATCGTCATATCTATGTAATCTAGTCATATCTCTGTAGTAGTCATATATGTGTAGTCTTGTCATATATCGTCATATCTATGTAATCTAGTCATATCTCTGTAGGCTAGTCATATATGTGTAGTCTTGTCATATCTGTGTAGTATCGTCACATCTATGTAATCTAGTCATATCTCTGTAGGCTAGTCATATATGTGTAGTCTTGTCATATCTGTGTAGTATCGTCATATCTATGTAATCTAGTCATATCTCTGTAGGCTAGTCATATATGTGTAGTCTTGTCATATCTGTGTAGTATCGTCATATCTATGTAATCTAGTCATATCTCTGTAGGCTAGTCATATATGTGTAGTCTTGTCATATCTGTGTAGTATCGTCTTATCTATGTAATCTAGTCATATCTCTGTAGGCTAGTCATATATGTGTAGTCTTGTCATATCTGTGTAGTATCGTCATATCTATGTAATCTAGTCATATCTCTGTAGGCTAGTCATATATGTGTAGTCTTGTCATATCTGTGTAGTATCGTCATATCTATGTAATCTAGTCATATCTCTGTAGGCTAGTAATATCTGTATAGTCTGGTCATATCTCCGTAGTCTAGTCATATCTATGTAGTCTGGGCATTTCCTGCCTAATACATTGTTCTCATCGCCGCAGACGGTCTCACCGCCATGAAGAAAGCAGTGTTAAATGTTGAATAAGGAATCGACATTATCGTACTGGGGACATTCCCACAAGCGCTCCATCCCCAACTTCAGCAGCAAACGAAGAGTTCCAATTCAGATGGTACCAGTAACTGTCTGATAGTAAATCCGTCTCGCTTTTTCCTTGAGTGTTAAGTATCGACCAGATCCCCTGGTAACTCCTCACAGCGCCATTCTCCTCAGACCATAATGATCTAATTGCGTTTCCACACTGTTCACTCGCCTCCCAGAGAGCCTTCACAATGAGGAAAGCAATGAGGAAAGCAATGTCTGTAAGCAGACTGAGGCTCCTCGCTTCTCAGGAAGATACACTGCGACTTTGAAGAAACCCTTCTAATAAGTCGTCTTTTACGACATGCTTGTTAGGGAAGAGTGGGTCTGTTCTTTTCGTCCAGAAATTAAAGTCCGGCAACCCACCCAGGGAGTAGTAACCATCTGAACTGGGAATTATTAGGCAGGCAGATAACGCACACACAGCGACTCATTTGCTGTCATCCGTCATAGAAGGCATAAAACGTCACAAAACTGTCTCATTCTGCACCCTAAAGCGTGTCACTGTAGCATGTTGCCCGGTCAGACAGCAGCAGAAGTTAATGACCAGGAAGTGTCTTGAAAGAAAAGCAACATCAACAGGAGACTTGCCACTATACTCTTACACTGCAGACATTAATGGAGATCAAATGCTATCTCATCTATTGAATGAAATCCACAGAAGATCCAAAATTACCAAAATCAAAATCCATTTGACAGTTTTAACTGCCAAAGTGAACATTAATAGGAGACCATCTCAGTTAACAGAGAAAACCTCTATATATATATATATATATATATATATATATATATATATATATATATATATATATATATATATATATATATATATATATATATATATATATATATATATATATATATTCGCTTCGGGGCCGAATAGTGGACCTAATAACTATTCGGTATTCGGCCGAATAGTTGCGGTCGGGCCGAATACTAATAGTGGTTACCTTACATCCGTTTCTGGACTGGTGGAAAATGAACATATTAGGATTTTCCACCTTTGTTCATACTGTCAAGCGTTACTTTGTGCACCACCTACGAGCGTACCAAGTGAACGTCTGTTTAGCACAGCTGGTAATACCTTCAGTGAGACAAGAAGCTGCCTTAATGCTGACAACATGGAACGATTGTGTGTTTTTTTAAAAGCTTATGCTTTCTTGCTTGCTACATACATCCAGTTTTAGCATATGGCTGTGAGTCTTGGACAAGCGGTAGGCAGGCCAAACAATTTCTTGAGGCCTCATAGATGTGGTTTTACAGAACAATGCTTAAAATACCTTGGACAGCCAGAAAAAAGCAACCAATAGGTTTTAAAAGAGGCGGGAGCCCGAAGACAACTCACAGACATCAGAAGGAGACAGTCATCATTTTTCGGCCATGTTATAGGATGAGTGAAAATGGAACATGCGGTGACCACTGGAAAGATCTGTAGAAGGAGGGATAGAGGAAGACAACAAGTGAAAATTCTTGACAGTCTTGTTGCATGGCATGGAGGTGTGTCAGCACACGAACTGATACATGCTGCAAGAGATAGCAGATTGTGGCAATGCATACTTGCCCATGCCAGTCGGCAAAGCACCTGATGATGATGATTCACTATTCGTATTCGTGTTCGGCCGAATAGTTGGTCCAGCTATTCGTATTCGGTCGAACAGTGAAAATCACTATTCGGTACAGCCCTAATATATATATATATATATATATATATATATATATATATATATATATATATATATATATATATATATATATATACACACTTACATACATACATACACACACGCGCGCGCACGCACACACACACACATGATGAAGTCTACAGACGGCTGACCACTTTTCAGACCTGGAATCCACAATTATTTAAAAAAAAAAAAAAACTTTCACTGGCCCAGGAAATCAAATCAGAAAAATTTAGGTAGCAACAACAGTGAGCAGATTAACAAAAAAAAAAAAAAAAAAAAACAGTTTAAGAGAACAGAAAGCTCCCGATTTTAAAAAAAAATCTGTTGCCAGCCTTGCATTTTCAGCACTCTTCTTTATAGCAGTGGAACGTCATCTTCTTATTGGTCTCAGGAAAAACGACTAAATTGCTTTCGTAAGTGATGCCTGTGAAGAATACTTGGCATTAAGTGGCAAGACAGGATCACCAACATTGAAATATTGGAAAGAGTAGGTAACACATGTTTTCTGAATGCTCAGTCTCAGATGGCTTAGCTGGCTAGATCACACTTGGAGAGTGCAGGAGGGTAGAGTCGAAGGTGTCGACGACGGTCTCTACTACAATGAAAGATTGTGTGCCAGCAGGACATGACCGATACGGCTAGTGGGGGTAGATTCGTGGGAACAAAGTGCCATGCACAATGTTGCCCGAAGGGGAAATTCAGGGAGAAGAGGAGAAATACAAGGATAAAATAACTGCAGATAGGTTAAGAGCTACACGTCTGAGCAGAAAAAAGATTAAATACTCGCAATGACAATAAAGATCCTAAAATCCCATGCTCTAACTATGGAAGACTTTTCATAACGCGAACAGGTTTTCTTAGTCACACTCGCCATCGCTATTGGCGGTGATTCCCAGGTCTTCCTATAGCAAAGTACAGTGGTGCCTCCATATAAATCCTAAACCTATTCTAGATACATGGACATATACCAAGTAGGACGTGTACCAAACGTATCTTCCCATAAGAAATAAAGGGAGCTGAAACGAAGAAGAAAATCCCATTGTTTTTTTTTTTTTTTTTTGATTGCTTAAAAACTGCCTAATACTTTAATGTATAAATACAAAAACAAAAGATGAAACATACACGTATGCACGCACACATAGAAACACACATGCATACATGCATATATAAACACATAGAAACACACACACACGTTGAAATGTTATTATAAACATACTGTAATGTATTTGGTAGACAGTTATAGCGGCGGAAGAAAGAAGTAGAGAGATGAGGACACTCTAGCTAGACAGCATAAAAATCGAAAGCTATAGTTACCACAATCAGTACATTACAACCTGTTTATAAAAGTATTATAAAAGTATTATAAAAGTGCTATAAAAGTATTATAAAAGTATTAACAGGAGAAATTTGCAGAGCAACCGATACTGGACTACAGGTTACATTTGGACCGTTTCCGATTCTGATTCCTTTTGAGAAAAAAATGAAAAGGTCGACCACTTTCAGACTGCTGCTAGCTAGCCGAGGCTGTTAACAGTCTCCGCCTATATTTGTGGTCTGGGTTATTTGCGTCACTATCGTGACTAAATTCCCGTGAACGTTTTACGGTGCTCCAAATATAACTGTGCTAAATACGATTAAATGGAATTTCCGGGATTTGTATCTGTTTGATTCCAATTAACTCTCTTGGAAGCAAAGGAAGGGTTTATAGATTAGAGCAGTTTTTCCCATTTGGTGCGGAGTAAGCAAGCCGGATTGTAAGGAGTCAGTAAGTTGTACCCCACCAGGACATCAAACAGAGCGATAAAAACTTGGTGACACAAAGTGCCACCATGCGGATGAGGATCACCCGTGGAGAGGTCCCTGAAATCCGTTCAACCGTTTGGTTAAATTAGGGCCCCGGCAAAAGCCAGGGTGCGGCTTTAAAATAACAAAAAACTGCGTCCCAGGTGAGAATGACGAATGGCAGGGGTCAGTGAAATCTGTTACAATAAAACCCTCAACTTCAGAATGCTGTTAAATAGTTGTAAAATTTTAATACGCTTATTTTTCAGTATGACTTTATAAATAATTGGACTCGTATCAGACCCCCTATAATAAGAAGGATCGGCGGTTCTTAGATAATTATGAACCAGTGGCTTGAAGGACACATTAGAAAACATAAACATTGAAAGCTATACTGAGAAACAAACTTATTAAGGTAGTATATAGAGGCTACATTAGACAGATAGATAGCCGGATAAAACATTAAAAACATAGCGAAAGTAAAACCGATGTAACAAGGGATGTGGCAGACACATAACATTTTCTAGCTGCACATTCTCATGGAGTAAAGAAATGCGCGTGAATTAAATAAACGCGCGTGAGATGAATAAACGCCCATGATTATAAAGTCTAGACGTGCGTCTTGATGTCTTGTCTGTCGCATCCGAGCTATTTCCCTTGTCAACTGTCATCTGCCATCTTTGTTGGTGCTTGATGACTGTAGCATTCTCTACTGGCTTGACTTATGTTGGTTTGTCTAGAGAAAGTCGCGTATTCCTGGACGGGTAAACGAGTTTGTAAGCACAGTATGCAGGTGCAGAAGGTAAGGAGTTGCAATGGCACAAGGGCCAGTCGCTTGACTGTCAATCAAAAGGTCCTGATATGGCTGCCCTGAGTTTGAATTAATGCGGATTTTTAAAGTTGACCTAAGGCTCTTGACTTAAACCAGTCTAAAATTGGTAGCAGGAAAATGTTTTGGAACGTAGAGACGGCCGGTGTGATATTGGTTGACCACGTTACCATTCAAGTGCCATTTAGCATTTAGAAGTATCATACACTGAATTGTTGTCCATACTGATATCTGTTATGAATGTTATCTTCAGTTTTAACTTCATCTTAATTATCAGCACACAGGGATCTGAACCTTTCCTGTGTGGTTCCGGGTTCCTAATGGGTTGGGGTTAGACTCACTGCAGCGCCTCAACAATGTCGTAAAAGACGACTGATTAGGAATGTTTCCTTCAAAGTCGGACTGCATCTGCCAGAGGCGTGAAACAGTCTTGATACAAATTAGCCAGATCTGTAAAACATATGTACACGCAGAACTTAAGCCCTGGAGCAAAACCAGAAGTGGACAAACAACCATAACTTTCCGCTATATTTTACAATCGGTGAACGCTAAGAAGATCTGAACTTACATCTGCCCTTCTATACACTTTTGTATCATTGAGATATTTTTAAAACTTTTCTTTAGATACATGTTCTGACATCATCGCATGTCAGAAAGCCACTCGGTTCCTTTGCCAACTTTTCCGATCGGTGAATTGTCATGCAAAAAGCAACTTTGTTGCTGACGGACGTCTGACGGACGCCTCAAACTTTGATGTTATAGTTAACCCAATTATCATTTTGTAAAGACTTTCTGTAGGCAGACTATTGAACCAAGATTTATGATATAATAGGATATTCGGGCAACGGGATTCCCTTATGTTCCAAATGAGTTTTCGATTTACAAAAAATGTATCACCCATGCGTTGAGAGTTGGCTGATGAGAACCACATATTTCTGGACATTGCATCTCTAAGAGCCACCAACTTCGAGATCCCCTGCTAGCTCGGTTAAGGCCACTACTACCTATCATCCTTAGCGCATGACGTGAACGGCTTTCAGGGGTCTTGCATGGAAATCCGTTAAACCAATGCAGAGCCTGCTAGCACCTGAGGTGAGCTATGGAGAATCTCATTTTTGCACATCACAACGGCCTTGACATTCCCTCACGTCTGAGACCGAAATCACCGCGCTACTTTCCATAACATAAGCTAAAATGCTCTATTTTTTTTGGATTACAAACTGGGATTAACCAGACATAACTTGTCCATTTTACCATTCTTGTTTTATGTTTTGTTTTATGAATAATTTCTCACGTTTCATATAAGTACTAGGTTTAATTTAACTTCAAAGTAGCATTCGTGAGGCGGCAAAAACAATGCTCTGGGACCAGACGGTGTACGCTATGGCTTTATCAAACAGTTAAGTAGTGATGAAATACTACGAGTGGTGAGGGACTTTAATGATAGTATCCAAACTCAAATGTACTAGATGACAGGTAACACAGCGATCTCAAACTGTTTCCAAAACCAGGCAGGGATACCCCGCAGCCCAGCAGTTATAGAATCATAACTCTGCAAATTATGTGTGGCAAACTGCTGGGGGGAAAAAGTGGAGAAGAAAGTGACGTTACACTTAGAAAGAATGGGCATGATCATTACCGGACACGATGGGCAGCTATAGTCCATCAAATGCAACATGGGACAATGCTGGAACATTCGCATATGATGTGTATGGATTTCAGCGAAAGCAAGAAGCAGTCGCGGTCGCAAAAGATCTTGAAGATGCTTTTAACAGCGTTGACCTAACATATGTTATGCAGTGCGTGATGGACTGTATGAACCCGTGGTTAGTTAAGTGGATGGGAGCAGCATTGTTGGAAAAAACAATGGTATTTTGTTTGGGAACATGGAGATCAGATCCAATTCGCATTTGCCCAGACCTTCTCCAGGGATCACCACTGCCACCTGTCTTGTTTAACATATATACAGCAAGTCTGGCAAAAATTCAGCCCATTGGTCCAGGGCGAACTTTGGCATTTGCAGATGTTGTCCTAATGTATCAAAGCGAGACAGACAAGCACGACATGACCAGAGACTTGCAAAGTTTCTTGCACAAGATGACTGAGTGGTGTCAACAGACAGGGTCAAGGGTAAACCCAGAGAAGGCCAGTGTTTTGTGGTGCTCTTTGAATAACAGCATTGGGAAGGAAGACTTGCCCAACATATCCATGAAGGGTATAAATGCTGAAAGAAGAGATAAGTTGAAATACTTAGGTTTGACGTTTAATCGCAGTCTGTCCTACAGATATCAAGTGGAGCCGACTGTGTTTTCAAATGCAAGCGTGGCGTGGCGGCTCTGAAGACGATGGTAGCGACACACATGGAACAAAGATTATTGATCTTATTGTTCAGCCATTTGGTCCTTTCTGTAATCGATTATGCCCCAGGAATATTAACCCTAGCTACTTCACAGTGTACAAAGCTTGAACTAATTCAAAATGAATGAATAAGAATCGTCTTGGGTTGCACACGGGACACCCCAATTAGTATAATGAGGGTTATGTTTGGGCTGACATCGGTAAAGTCTAGACTGTCACTGGCGCAAGCCAAGGCCTGTATGCGAGTTACCAATGTTGAAATGCATCCGCTGCATGGTAATTCGAAAAATTTAGGAAAAGACCGGTTGAAAAAAGAAAAGTCATGGATGGTGTTAGCTGAAGATACCATTGAGTCAAGCAATATATACAGGGGGCAGGAATAAACCCACACGAACACCCACAACAGCAGTTTCTATAAGGTCATTATCACGCTAGGAAGAGGATGTAGAGGGTGGTGTAACGGTATGGCAGAATTAGAGGTACAACAACTGATAGATGGAAATGTTGGACTAGATAATGCAGTAGTGTATACCGATGGTTCTTTTTATCGGGTTCTAAGATCTGGCTGGTGATTTTCAGCTACGAGTTATGGGTCAATAAAGAGTGCATTTTTGGGGGGACATTGTATTCTGTTTAAGTCCCTTTGCGTAATCTAATGCCTCTATTTATTAATGCATTCCTCCCAGATTTAGGGTATCTATCATTGAATCAAGGCCGAAGGGTTGCGATACCCATATTACCGAGACAAAGGGTTAACAACACATGGTTTCTGGACACTTTAAAAAAATGTTATGTAAGTTTTTTTACTCTCACGAACACAAGTAGCCGAGCTTTAAAAAAAAACGTCTGTTTATGTATGTAAATATCTGTTTATGGTGTTGTCACTGCAAAAACACCGGTAACGAAGACTACCTGTTGCAAGCGCATGCTGCAACCGTGCCTCACAGAAAACCACCGTCTGTTTCTGATGACAGCGTCACACGTCTGACAACTACAGACCATGTTTTCAGTTGACTTGTTTTAGGTTGACATGTTTTAAGTTAGGCGTGCCCGCATCTCTGGCTGTTAACTCTTTTGAGTCCCAAAGAACGCATCATACATTCATAGGTTACTGCCTAGAAGCCCAATGAACGCATAATGCGCTGATTTTATGTCTCTCTTGACTACCCCTTGGACCTGTGATGCTAAACCCTCTGAGACTCAAAGAGTTAATTGGTCTGCTACGTGATTGTTTAAATAAGGTACAGCACACATTGAGAACTGCGGCACTGTGTCAGCCTGACGGTCTTGTGTTAGAATTCACGTCAGGGTGGATTCGCATTAAAAGGTTGAAGACGAGAGGATTTGCTTTGTTGCACCGGGTTTAATTCCATATGGCTCGGTCTCTTTCAGCAGAACGGCTAGCCGCCTGCCAACAGCCTCGCACTAAGCACGAATTCCTTAGCTCCGGTGACGATCTACAGGGATCTCCATGAACAATTGCACTCGTGAACTAAATGACGCTGCCGTGAAACGAACCCACGACCTACAGGGCGTGAGGCAAACAGCTTGGCCACTTCGTGACGAAGAATTCCCGATTTGGATTATTCACCCAGACATCTCATGCTGACCCAGTCTTTTAAAAAAAAAAAGCAAAGAAGTTTTTTAGGAAGTAAAGGCGACCCCACGATGTAGCCACATTGCCTTTTGATCAATAAACATAGGGGTCTAGTGTCTTTGACAGATCCACCAATGGCGTGTACACCAGTGAAATAGTGAAGAATGGCTGTAGAGTAGAACGCGATTTCCTGGATTAATACCTATTTGATTTTTGTCCTCGAGGTGTTAATCCTCTTACGGTATTTTAATTTGGAGCCATGTGACTGCTATAGATGGATTAATTGTTGCTGCTGAGATGTTGCATCAGGATGATATACGATCTAATTCTATCTGTAGAACCGAAAAAATATCAGCTCTGCTCCTGACCTCTCGGTACATAAGGACGTCATTCGCATATATACAGTTCTTTGTGTGGCACTCAGTTGTTTTCACGTGAGCTTGATGTGTATATGTTAAAGGTGACCGGAAACAGTTAAAAGCTGGCAGACCTGGGCTTACTGTTATCAGCTGAGAAGACCAACTACTACATCGAAGCATCACCCTCCTATAGTGCAGTGCACCAGATGTCCATCAAATGAGAACGGGAGGATGTTGAGTGCCATTGGCTGACACATTATTAGTTGCCGACAGGATAGAATAATTAACATAGACTGTTCATTCTTTTCCTTGAGTGTTGACTAAAGAAAGGGTATCATATCACTCTGGACTTTTCCGTGGGTGCTCCACTATTCAGTCTGAAGTTATGCGAAGTCGCTGGTTTGATGTTCAAAATAAGCCGGTTTCAGTAAAAGAGCTAAGGCTTATCATTTAGATAAGGGTCTGCCAACCTCTTTAAAAAAAAAAGATTTTTGTTGGTGGGGAGGGGGGGGGGGGGACCTGAGCACCCAGGTTCTGGGGCTTTTATCCTACAGATTTACAGTGACTGCACGTATTTTAGCGCCAGCATGAAAACCTTCACATGTGTCACGTTTAAAGAGGTCAGTTTTAAGCCTTGTCTCTGTGTTTTGTCTGTATTCTCCGAAGGTAGGAGGTAGTCGCTGATGTATTTCAAGTTGGCATGCTAAACTTTGTGACAGTTTTTCTTTTTCTCTTCTTCCACCCCACCACTGTCACCTCCACCTCCACCTCCTTCTCCTTCTCCTCCCCTCTTCTTCTTCTTCTTCTTCTTTCCTCTGCTGCTGCTGCTGCTTTACGATCGCCGGTTGTAAACTGAGGCTGAAAGTTCTTGGTATTTGCCATTTATCCACTTTAGTCTTGTTGCTAAACTTTGCATGCACATCCGTTTAACAGATCCGGCTTATTTGTATGCAGACTGCTGGTTACTCGCCTCTCAGGCAGATGTACTCAGGTTTCAATGGCAACACCCCTAATTAGTCGCCTTCTACGGCATGCCTGTTAGGGACACTGGGTCTCTTCCACCCCACCCCCGGGACCCACACAGAGAACACACTGAAAAATCTTCCAGGACCGAAAAGCCCTCAGATGCATGGAAAAGGGACCTTGACTCATTTCACCCAGCGATAACATATTTAAAGAACGAAACACCCCTCCTTATGTAACCCTTCCATGTGACGACTGTCATGTTGCCCCCACATACACCGTTGTTTTAAAATGTCAGCCTTCAAATACGACACTCCATCTTCCTTAAGTCCCCCATTGCAAGCATGTCTTCACAAGTCACATCTGACATAAAATGCATCCGCGCATTAATTTCACTGCTGATCCTTACCTTCTTTTCTCAAGTCTTCAAAGATTTCGTGAAACACCGTTTTTATGTTGTAATCCTCCAGTGAGCGTGTCCACCTTTCTTTTCAGGAACAGAGCGCTAAGACACGCAGCAGACGAGAGTACAGTTGCAGAAGTACAAGACGGCCGTATAAAGCTGTCAGGGAATAACAGCAGAGTTTATGCCTGTAACTCATTCAGTGAGCAATTATTTCCCGTCTGAGGCGGAATTTATTCTCTCAGCTGCTAAAATGTGCAACCGCTTCGTTTTAGTTTCACACAGGTGTTAGTTTCATGTGAAATAGATGATACATACAATCTTGAATTTGTGTCCATTTGGTGTATAATTGTAGCGAACATAAACGGCTGGGTGTCGGTAGTGGATACAACTTTCGTTTACTGCATGCTTTACTTGACAGCAGGTTTTTACAAATTCATTAAAATAATCTGACTGACAGACTGTGTTAATTAACAGCTAGTTTAACGACGGCGTCGAGTGTTTCTCTTACACAATAGATCAGTTGTACGAATATTATTAGTGGACGATTTTGTAAGTCTCATAAACAGTAGCAGCATAATGTTTAGTTTATGGTAGGAGGTTTAAATTTGTGTGATTTTGTTTCTTCTTCAGATTAGTAGTAGACGTACGGAACACTCCAGGCAACTTCGAGGAAATGCGATATTTGAAGTGTAGTTTTAGTAAACTGTGAATCCAAGAAGTCACCTTTCGCTTGTGGATATGCTGTCACAGGTCAGACAGCTGTTAACGTCCTTGTTGTCTCCTAACCCCGTAGGTCGGTGGTAGGTAACCATGCCGTTCTTCAACCCGTCTGCTTCTCCCAACAGCCGTGACACGCCAGTAGCCAGGCTAGGCAGTGGAAAGGAGAGCCACAGACTTCCCCTGGCCAGTACAGGCGTGTCTTGGAACTGCCCATCGTTGAAATCGACTTTTGGCAAAGTTGTAGGTTTCATAACACATCGTAAACGAGTCAACAGGATACGAATCGTTGATGCTTTGCTGCTTGTGTTCCTTCTGCCAGTGACCTCTGGACTTCGCACTGGCGAGTATCCCCTTTATGACACAATGTGCTTGTCCAGTCGTCAGATGGTGTCTGTCATGTGGGACTGCAAGGGATATATCCAGGTAGGCAGTTAAATTCCTTATTTCTGAATTTCTGTCAATTCCTTTCTATTTTGTACTTCACTTCCTTGCCTGATTTTTAATTATTTTCACTTTGTTCTAGTCTCTTTTGCCTATGATATGTCTTCCTTTCTTTGTCTGTTCTTTTCATGTACTGTCTGTTTGTTTTACCCCCTCCCCATACCTTGCCCTCCATTTTTGTTTTCCTCTTGTATGGCCAAGATATGTCCCATAGGGCATAGAAACATATAAGACAGATGAATTATCAGGTACTTACATCACCACAGATGACATGGAACAGAAAGCTCCATCAGGTACTTACATCACCACAGATAACACAGCACAGAAAGCTCCATCAGGTACTTACATCACCACAGATGACACAGCACAGAAAGCTCCATCAGGTACTTACATCACCACAGATGACATGGAACATAAAGCTCCCTCAGGTACTTACATAACCACAGATGACACAACACAGAAAGCTCCATCAGGTACTTACATCACCACAGATGACACAACACAAAAAGCTCCATCAGGTACTTACATCACCACAGATGACACAACACAGAAAGCTCCATCAGGTACTTACATCACCACAGATGACACAGCACAGAAAGCTCCATCAGGTACTTACATCACCACAGATGACACAACACAGAAAGCTCCATCTGGTACTTACATCACCACAGAGGACACAGCACAGAAAGCTCCCTCAGGTACTTACATCACCACAGAGGACACAACTCAGAAAGCTCCATCAGGTACTTACATCACCACAGATGACACAGCACAGAAAGCTCCATCAGGTACTTACATCACCACAGATGACACAACACAGAAAGCTCCATCAGGTATTTACATCACCACAGAGGACACAGCACAGAAAGCTCCATCAGGTACTTACATCACCACAGATGACACAGCACAGAAAGCTCCCTCAGGTACTTACATCACCACAGATGACACAGCACAGAAGGCTCCCTCAGGTACTTACATCACCACAGATGACACAGCACAGAAAGCTCCCTCGGGTACTTACATCACCACAGAGGACACAACACAGAAAGCTCCATCAGGTACTTACATCACCACAGATGACACAACACAGAAAGCTCCATCAGGTACTTACATCACCACAGATGACACAACACAGAAAGCTCCATCTGGTACTTACATCACCACAGAGGACACAGCACAGAAAGCTCCCTCAGGTACTTACATCACCACAGAGGACACAACTCAGAAAGCTCCATCAGGTACTTACATCACCACAGATGACACAGCACAGAAAGCTCCATCAGGTACTTACATCACCACAGATGACACAACACAGAAAGCTCCATTGGGTACTTACATCACCACAGAGGACACAACACAGAAAGCTCCATCAGGTACTTACATCACCACAGATGACACAGCACAGAAAGCTCCATCAGGTATTTACATCACCACAGAGGACACAGCACAGAAAGCTCCATCAGGTACTTACATCACCACAGATGACACAGCACAGAAAGCTCCATCAGGTACTTACATCACCACAGATGACACAGCACAGAAAGCTCCATTGGGTACTTACATCACCACAGATGACACAACACAGAAAGCTCCCTCAGGTACTTACATCACCACAGATGACACAACACAGAAAGCTCCATCAGGTACTTACATCACCACAGATTACACAACACAGAAAGCTCCATCAGGTACTTACATCACCACAGATGACACAGCACAGAAAGCTCCATCAGGTACTCACATCACCACAGATGACACAACACAGAAAGCTCCATCAGGTACTCACATCACCACAGATGACACAACACAGAAAGCTCCATCAGGTATTTACATCACCACAGAGGACACAGCACAGAAAGCTCCCTCAGGTACTTACATCACCACAGATGACACAGCACAGAAAGCTCCATCAGGTACTCACATCACCACAGATGACACAACACAGAAAGCTCTCTCAGGTACTTACATCACCACAGAGGACACAACACAGAAAGCTCCCTCAGGTACTTACATCACCACAGAGGACACAACACAGAAAGCTCCATCGGGTACTTACATCACCACAGATGACACAACACAGAAAGCTCCATCGGGTACTTACATCACCACAGAGGACACCGCACAGAAAGCTCCATCGGGTACTTACATCACCACAGATGACACAACACAGAAAGCTCCATCAGGTATTTACATCACCACAGATGACACAGCACAGAAAGCTCCATCAGGTACTTACATCACCACAGAGGACACAACACAGAAAGCTCCATTGGGTACTTACATCACCACAGATGACACAGCACAGAAAGCTCCATCGGGTACTTACATCACCACAGAGGACACAACACAGAAAGCTCCCTCAGGTACTTACATCACCACAGAGGACACAACACAGAAAGCTCCCTCAGGTACTTACATCACCACAGAGGACACAACACAGAAAGCTGCATCGGGTACTTACATCACCACAGATGACACAACACAGAAAGCTCCATCGGGTACTTACATCACCACAGAGGACACAACACAGAAAGCTCCATCAGGTACTTACATCACCACAGAGGACACAACACAGAAAGCTCCATCAGGTACTTACATCACCACGGATGATACAGCACAGGAAGCTCCATTTTCAAACCTTTTATTTTCTTTATCATCATCATATTTATATTGTGGCTTTACGCCCCACAAAGTGCTCACAGTTTATTGTTCCATTCAGTTCTATCTTGTGCAGTGTTTTACTATCATGAACTGAATTTAGTCCAGCACCTTTGGCCTCTCTCATCAGCATTCGACGTAGAGTTTCTCTTAGACTTTCTCGTATCCTCAGTCGATTTATTTCTCATCTCAGTGTCCCGTTTTCTGATTCAAATAGTAATATTAAACGCTTATGACCATATTAAATATTGATTTTTACATGGATATTCCAAGGCATGTGACTAGGAAATCGATGAAATTTAAATGGAATGCTGTCAGGTAACGTCAAGAAAACAGAGACATATCCGGGCTCGGTATTCAGTTAACTATCTGGTAAAATTGATGGATCAAAGAGGCCGGTAAACAGTTGTTACTTCAGCTATAATGAGTACCTCGTTTAGCCTTAATTAAATTTTAACGAAGGTCGTTCGTGTTATATTTTGTTGTAGAGAGGCACGCGAATCACAAGCAGTTAAAGGTAGTGATGAAATTTATTATCTCGAGGGCACACGAATCTAGGCATTATTGTATAGAATAGATATTGCCCATGCAGACTGATCCCTCCCTCGATCTGCTTTGTTTATTCAAAAGCAAAGGTACCGCTAACACGTTTGGAACAAAACGTGCTGCAGAAGCAGCCGGATCAGAAGATCAGTGATCTGCCTGTCCGCCTGCCGGAGTTTCCCTCATGACTATGTGCCCTGTCTGCTTAGCCATAACTATTTTTAGATTGCAGATTGTATATCTGGTAAAATTATTTGACGAAAAAGGGAGGTATACAGTAATTTTTGTTCTACTAATAATGTCTACCCGTTCATCCTTAACGAGGGTTAAAACTGAGTCCGTTAGTAATGTGAAGATTTTCATTATAAACAGATAACTAAATTCGTGTTGCAATTGTATCTGTGTTCAGGAATTTAATACTAAAGGACCTCTATCAGTGCCTTCAGATGTATTGGGCATGTAAGGCTAGATCTGTGTTGTTTAGACCAGTGATTCCCAAGCTGCCACGGCGCACCGGGGAGCCGCGACCTCTTCACAGAGGCGCCTACAAATATTCGTAGATAAGTAAGTAAGTAAATGTCCCTTTTCCACGCCTTTAGGCGTATAGGGCATATAGGGCTTGACCTATATTTTTAAAGACAAATCAGCACAAGATGAGTGATGTGGTCAGCATCACGCCAGCCGCCTTTACTTTCTGGGACTGCAGCCGGTACCCACTCAAGGCTGGGTCGATCTGGGAGTCAAGGTAATTCTTTTAAAAAGTCCGGCTCCGCCAGGGAGCAAACTCACAACCTTCCGATCCGCACGCGAGCGTCTAACCGCTACGCCACGGGGACTAGCATTCGAAGATAAACGAGTTTTTATTTTTATTTTTATCTCCTACATACGAAAAGTCATAATTTTACTTAGGTTAGGGCGCTGTAGACAAGTTTTAATTGAAAATAGGTGATGTGGTCGCTGTTGCTTCTCAGGGCTGTAGTACCTATAGCCATATAAGGACGGATCGACCTGAACGCAAAGATCATTTTTGAAAATAAGTCCGGCTCCGCCAGAGCCAAAACCGGACCCTCAGTCAAAGGTCTGGCCGCGACAAGTCGGCATATCCCATCTTTATAGAATACCCATTTCTTAACTACTTATCGTAACCGTCATCCCCATGTGGGATGCAATTTTTTTGTTATTTTGAAGCCCCACATTGGCCGGGAGCCGCATTATAGCATAACAGTTGAACACGGTTTACGGGACCTCTCCGTGGGTGATCCTCATCCGCATGGTGGCACTTTGTGTCACCGGGTGTTTATCGCTCTGTGTGGTGTCGTGGTGTGGTGAAATTTACCTACTTACTTAACTATTCCTTTTTGATGTACTTTGGTTGGGTTTTAATGGCATTTTTCAAGGATACATATATATATATATATATATATATATATATATATATATATATATATATATATACACATACATACATACATACACCATTATCTAATGGTCTATTATACGTAATCAGAACGGTTTCAGCATATTCGGAGTTCGCCTACACCAGAAGGTTATGCACTTGGTGGTCATAAAACAAGTTTAACGCTACGTAAATTCTTTAGTGTCAGCTGCAATGGTTCCTGGACAGTTATTGGGGAAGTATAATGATATGCGCTATGATCAGACTTTGATTTAATGAAGTACCTGCCGTGACTGCTATAGAGAATTTCATGTCATGTTGACTGGCCCCTTTCCGTCTTTCCAGACGATAGTGTATATAACGCTGCGAGGAGTCATGGGGCTCT